CATGTCGACCGTGACAGCCATTATAGAATGAATTGTTCTGCGTCAAAAAAAAAAAACAAAGAAAAAAGGGAGGGGGTGAGGGGTCGCGGCTGCATCGTGTGTGTTCCAGCAATATGAAAGAACATCGACACATCGTACGCCGGTTCTCTCAACCCAAATACTCAAAAGCAAGGAGATGCCCCGTCGAGTGCTGCCTGCTAGGATTCCGCTTGCGCCATAGGAGCAGCATAAACATCGCAGAGAACACGCGTGGGACGATTTTCCAGAGGCAGAATATGATTGGAGCTCGGAAATTTTGTGCCATGGCGCCTTATTTAGGCTTGATTCGAGTGCTTCAACTTACTAGTGTCGTAATCTTTACAGAGCGACGAGACCGTGCTACACTATCAGCCCTCTCACTGTTCGAGGAGGAGCACTGGTGGCATCGTTCGGTGCCATTCAATTTGGCTCCGTCGTTTGTGTCCAGGGGGTGGCCGGGGCTTTAACCCTTTCAGACGCCAACTATTCAGAACTATCTGTATATGTGTCAAATCACTACAAAGTTATTTCAATGCACTCAATATTCTATTGCCACAGGAACAATGAGATAATTGTTGAATCCATGTGTGTCATAGTAACTCATTCTAATTAAACTGCAAATAAATATCTTTTTATCTCGAAGTCATTGATGCTTACTTTTGGAATAAACAGAGCGTAATCTCAGGCTAGAAATATAGTGCACATATTTTTCTTTATATTAGTTGTCAGCAAGCCAAATATCTGCTTTTCACATTGCTTGCAGGAAGCGGCACGTGGCACGACTCGTCGAACGTTGTAGTGCCTTCAGAAAAGTGATCACATGTATCAGTAGACTGCGAAATGAGGTTAAATGAAGACAAAATAATCATGCAGCAGGTTCAAATCATCTAGTTTACGATAAATCTTGCTTTTTTTTAGCCTCTACTTGATGTAAATAACGAAAACGAGTGGTGTACACAAATGTGAACATGGCGCCTCAAAGGGTTAAAGAGGACTGGGAGTGCGTGTTATCTTTGCTGTTGCTACGATGGTGAAAGACGAATTCCGATTGGCTGCGCTCTCCGGAATCCGCCTTCGTGAAAGTGCGACGGCTGGTGACCGTGTGGCGGGACTGGAGAAGCCCTTCGGCTCTACACTGTCGTCACACAGGTGCATAGGTGGCGCTATGCTTCACTATCCGCATCAACGCATCCGACTCACATAAAGTACAGTGCTTAAAAAGGTAGGCGGAGGCGCCGCTCCTAAACGAACGAGGGTCAGTTTCAATGACGTCAATGAGCCGACCAAATGCCCGGTTAGTGGAACGCGCGAAACTTCGAGCAGACACCGGGTCAGTGACGAAATCGAACGGTTATACTCATGCGTACGAACAGGGTGTCACTATACAAGACTGCCATGTATTCTCATCCTGAATATCTGCGCACGAGATGTATGAACTCCGATGTAGCGATTCACCTCACTGAATCCCAAGAGCCAAAGGAAGCGAGACACTTTTCAACAGCACAGACGACACCGATAATCACGATACGGGACGTGAAAGAGTGGCGGATATATACACCGGGAGGATTGAGTGCGACAGGCATGTCTTGATGGCCGCATTAGAACTTTTTACTAGTGCGGTGGCCTCTTGTCTGTCATGAGTGCAACACAAATGAATGGCGAATGCAGTATACTTTGCAGCAACGCACGTCCAGGAGACCCGGTATCAGTCTGTTAAACGAGGAAAAAAAAAATGACAGATATCCTTCACACGCTGCCTCGGGTGAGCTTGAAAAAAGTTCAGCGATAATGCACTAACCGTACGGGACAAGTTTAAAGTAGTTTGTGTGGCTTTTTTTTTTGCCTGACTATATATATGCTTTCAACTGATGCCGTCAACGAGTTACAACTGCTGTCGCAGAAAAAGACAACTGATGAGGCAGTGCGCAACTATTACGCAGAAACCCATTATGGTGATGAAATAAAAGACGAGTGCTTTTGCAGTAAAAAAAAAAAAAAGAGGGGACCGCCGCTGAAAGCACCAGTCTAGTTTCAAGGCGTTGACCGTTCACACACCCAGATGGCGCCCCTCGCAAGAAGCTCTGGGGTGGCATTTGTATAACGGTAAGGCTTCACGCATCCCATCAGTGCGTTTGGAGGGCGAATCGTATCACCTTCACAATTTTGGCAATGAGCATGATTATAACGTGATGTGATTTTGTTCGAACGAGTGGATATCAACAAAAGGTGGGAAGTCAAGAGACCACAATGTCATTATGTGTCACCTTATGGCAGAAAGTCAATGCGAAAGCCGGTAGAAGCGCCTTTAATACATTCGACGAATGGAACTAAGAAAAATAGGCTAGAAATCTCGCTGCTTATGTTTCTCAAATAGTCGTGAGCCCGCGAGTGTTTATTTGACGGGACCGAGAAGGAGGTGGCACGATGTGTGTTCTTTCACGGATCGTTGGCCTAATTGGTTTCAATAGCCGTGCAGAGTAGCGGAGTCCAATGAAAGTCTACTGTCAAATGTATCCGTGAATTCTTCAGCAAAGTTGCAAACCGGGAAAGGAGCATCATTATACATAGAATAGTAGCACCTGTGTCCCTATAGTACCAAAATTAACATGTGTAAAGAAAGGCAGACTACAACTTTACTATGGCTTCTAGCTGTGCACCGCGGGGATGAACCGTATAGCATGTGAAAGCACTGCTCGCTTCGTTCAGAATGAGACTTGGGGCAATTTCGATCGAGCTGTGACATATCACGTGACAGTAGTGGAAGTTCTTATATACGGCCTCACGTTCAACAGCGAAACAACGGAGATCAGATAGACTCTTTAGACGTTCAACGTGAAATAACTCTGCTCTTTCTGCTGTCTGACTATAGCGTCCGTCTAGACGTACTAGGCGAAACGCATCTACGCACACACACACACACACAGCGCCCGACTGGCGCGCGTTGGAAAGGCCCGGGTCAAAGATGGCGTATTTAGGCTTAGCTGACACTGCGCAGTTAGGCCTAGCTGGCCCGCCCGCAAAGGGGCTCCCACGACCTGCTCCTGGAAGACTTGGGATTTTGCTGTTTTGGCACGTCGCAAAGCGGTTGCCGATTCGCCGAACTGGTGGCAACCTGTTCGAGCTGATCGACCGTGCACTCGTTCCGCTTATCGCTCGTACGCGAACGGAGAATCAACAACAGTAACGACGATAGTAAAAGACTGCTCTGCTATGTCGCCTACCGCGATGCAATATGATTTGAAACACGCATCGGCACTATAGGTCAACAGAAACACGATATACAGGAATCTATGTGTGTATATATATACTTCTATCTAACGAGTGGCCAACACAACAACAGCGAATTTATTTCTATTCGTATCTCCCCTTCAGAGAAATATTATGTCAAGAATATCCTTCCGTGCTCGCCATGTTTTCTGACTCGCCAAGAATCGGAAACGCTGGAGCCTCTGCTGGTCGTTTCATAAAGACATGGCCAACTGATTTCCGACAAGTTCGCTTCCGCTTTTCACTGAATACTAGACAGGTCTTCTTACTAAAGACTGCTCAAGCCAGCTAGATATCAAGCATTTTCTGTTGCTCAGTATGAGAAAAATAATAAAATACGAAGTCACAAAAGTTGGTAAACTTTTCTTTTTTCTCACTGTCATGGGAGAATAATTTTGTCCTGAACTTTGATCGTTGTGCTGTTACGCTAGTGAATATTGCATTAGATCATCCATATCATTGTTTATTGCTCTAAGCTGCTTTTGGGGAGCAGACTTAGTTCCACAATTTGTAGTTAGGTATGCACTTTTTCGCATGAACACGTAGCTTATTGTTGCCGTGTGGACGTAATATGCGATGTAGTTTTGACAAAGTGGATAAAATAAATAAAGTCTACAAGAAAATTGGTTTATAGTGCGGCTCCTAGAACATAAATGTACTGAGAAAAGTCATTGTAAAAGTCGGCATCGTAAGACTATAAATGCAGTATAAACGTGCCCTGAATGTTGCACTGTGCAGATGTTTCTCTCTTGTCTGGTAACTAACATCTACCAAGAGCGACTGAATTTGGTTGTGGACGTTGCGCAGAAGAATATGCGCACGTCAGTTGCTTATTTCATTTTCGATATATATAGTTTTATACCAGGGAAGACGTTAATCAATTGAGTAAGCCTAACCAAACATATTTGCCTGGCTACGAAAATAGCTCTAACACCAGCTGTCTCCAAATCAACAAGGTGCAGGACATCGTACACTTTGTCCGCTTGGTGGAGCTGAGCACGTAACTGATAACGTGTGTAGCAGAACTATACTTTTATCTATGTCCGACCATGCGTTATGCAATATAACCTATAATAAGTGACGCTGGCAGGTACTGTCACCAAACCACCACTATTCCGGAACTCTGATAAATATGAGCGCCAAATAAATAGGCACTGGAGCAGTAATCATCATAGTCCAGCAGCGAAGCCACACACTATAAATTAGGAAACGCTGACCGCAACCAATCACAGCGGTTACAACGTAACACACACAACAAGAACGTTTCAGTTGGATTCCCGAACCTTCCACCATACTCTCAAAACACGCAATGTGGTGACTTGACACTCTACAATATGATCACTTTCTTTTTTCATGTTGACACACATTGCCTTGCGAGAATATATATATATATATATATATATATATATATATATATATATATATATATATATATATATATATATATATATATATATATATATATATATATATATATATATATATATATATATATATATATACTGGTTGTTCTCGGCATTAACAAGATTGGTGTTGAAATTACACGGAAGCAGTCAATTTCAAGATCAACAACTATCGTAAAACAGAAGGACGAGCAGATTTGTCCTCGAATATGCATTGCACAACGAACTATGCCTTGGCCAACATTGTCACCGGGCAACAAGAGCATCGCCATCAGACGAGAGCGTCTTCTGTACAAGGAAAAAAAAAAAAACTCGGCACGGGTGTTTCCCATCGGGTCGACTTACCATGTCTGCTAACCCACGTGACCTTTAGGTTCCGTAACGGCGGAGGCCATGGGGAAGACGGAGGTCCTACAGATCGTGACCTAGGCGGTCTAGCTCGTCGACGAGGAAGTCGATGTCTTCCCGTCGCACGCCTGCGTTGGAGACGATGTTCCTGAAGAAGTTCGGTTTGTCCCATATTGGCTGGTAGGTGATCATAAGCGTTCCGGTGTTCATCATCCGCGCCTTCAGCTGCGCTGTCACCTGCGTGGAACAGTATAGTATATGACAGCCACGTGACAGGGTGAGAGGATGTCCAAGTTAATGAACACACAAAACAGGATGAGCCCTATTGTAATATTAGACATGAAACTATAGTATCATTCACAAAAGGAAAGTCATTTTGTTATAGACTTGATGAATGCAGTTCATGTACGGCTGCATATAAGGATCTGCATGAGTATGCCCAGTGAAGCACCATCTTGCTTGTATGCCTCCTGATGTCTTGTTTTCGTAAGTTCATAACGACCGCTCAAGCTTGGTTAGGTTGGTAGAACCACGTGCCCATAGGGCGTCCGCATAAACCGCACCCGTAAAGCACGTGATCTTTCCCACCGGACTGGGGACCGGCATTAAGAACCACCGTAGCAACCACTTTCAGCCATGTAGTATAGGAGAGGAGAATACCGGCGACAGAAGGGGAAGACCCGACTTGAAGAGATCAGCTGACAATCAACTTCCGCGGAAACTGTGTCGCAGCAGCATGCACAACGATTTTGCAACAATTAGCCGCAGTGGGACCGATGACGACATTGTAAGCTTATAGCGCATAGCTCGCCGTAAGACTCGTTCATTTTGTCGTGCATACTGCCTTGACAACGAACTAAATGTTGATATGGTGTCGATACTACTTCTGTCGTACCTAACCACGTCAGCAAACTCATCTCGGCGTTTCACATTATTTACCTATATCACAACTCGGCAACACCAGCCTGCTGAGCCTCTCCTTAATGGCTTAGCCAAAGAAACCACTTCCGTGTTTTATGAAATAAAAAAAGGTTAATAATACGGTTAGCAAAGCAATAGTAACTTGAGTAACGTTGTTTTTTCTTTATTTTATTTATTTATTTACATAGTTCCTGCAACACCACAGTGGCATTGCTGCAGGGGGTGTATGTAAAAAGCCAGTACAGTTAATGAAATTTCTGTGATAGTTCACAACACCACAATAAAAATAAAATAACAACATATAGCAATCGTAGTACGTAAACAAATCTTTGAAACAATTTGACACATAGCAAACAAGTACAAAGGTGAAATACATGTCATAATATCACAACGATGAAAAAAAAAATCACCGTTGTCCTTCACGTTTGCGATATTTTCTGGAAGTTCATTCCACTCTCTAATTGTTTAAAAAAAGGAGTTGACAAAACTAGTGGTTTTGAATGAGTATTCTTTTATCTTATGTGAGTGTTGGCGTCTCTTAGAGCTATATGTTGGTGCTAACAGATATTTCGGCTTAGCGATTCCTGTTTGGTTATAATAAATACTATGCAAAAGTTTTAATGGAAGTTTCCGTCTTCTAGACTGCAGAGTTTCCTAGCCTAATGTGGCCTTCATTTCTGAGATACTTGCGATTGGGTCGTAGTTATTGCTGATGAATCTGGCTGCCTGTTTTTGAACCTTTTCTATTGTTTCTGCAAAATATTTTCAAGTCGGTTCCCAGATAACACAGTCACAGTCAAGTATTGAGTTGTACATGTACTTTTGCGGCACAATGACACTTTCGGCGAATAAAAAAAAACAACAACATTCTGCTAGCCTTTGAGATAATTTTGTCTAACTGGTCTGTTTCAATGTAATGATTCCGTTAAGCAAATTCCTAAGTATTCTACACTCCGGTACTTTTTTCACTGCCCAGCCATCGATACTGTATGTGTGCTAGAATTTCCGAAATGCTTTTTGCGAAGCTCACGTTCGTTGCTCTTTGAGGTATTTGAGAACATACGCCATGTAGGGCACCAACGTGCTACTGTGTTTAAGTCATCTTGTAATGATTCAGCGTCTTCGACTCAAGTAATAGGACGGTACATGACGGAATCATCTGCGAATAGTTTTATGCAATATTTTATGTCATATACTGTACCATTTACGTAAACAAAGAATAAAAGCGGGCCCAAAACGCTGTCTTGTGGCACGCCTGAAGTCACGTTTACATATGAAGGCTATTTAGAATTCAGAACAACACTGTTCATCAACACTGTTCAGAACAACTGTTCACGACCACTTGGGTAATTCAAGAGCCAGATTCGCAACTTACCGTTAATATTTAAAGAAACAAGTTTAATGTCTAACAGATTATGTGGGACCGTATTAAATGCCTTGCGGAAATTGAGAAACAATCAACAATGTTGTTACGGTCAAGCGCCATCATATACGTCATGCTGATATTCAGTTAGTTGTGTTATGCACGAACGACCCTGCCGTCTATCCTTTGTTCCAGATGAACCATGCGCACATTTACAAAAAGCGACTCTTGCATAATTAGTGCTTAACAAACAGATGGTATAGAATGCTTAACCAGATGAATCAATAGAAAGACTCTGAATGAGGAAACTGCAATGGTACGTCAACAAAGTTCACAGCAAAATACTCGACTCAATTTGTGTGCAGCGCATACGGCCCCTATGGTTCTCCCTCCCGTCTTCTGCCACAAAATGCTGGCCATGGGTCCTTTCTTTAAAGCATTGCTTTTTCTTTCTATAGGAACCCCTGAGTTTTTTTCTTGAAAGCTTTCGCAGACACTATGTTTATTTAAGGCGTAGTGAGATAGCCAATCAAGTGGCAGCAGTTACCCAAAGAGTGTTTAGAGAAGGCTCTGAAAGGACGCTTCTTCCAGCTCTCGCTGTGACTGTGTTGCGCGTGCCACGCAGGCCTGACATTTTTTTTGTTTGTTTAAAATTTTGCATACACCTGATAGCCTTGTCATTCAGAAGCTATCGAAATTCCTAATGAGGCATCCCCTTACTGTGTTACATCTCGCCATAGAAAGCACATATTTATTTTCAGGCGTTGTTGCTATTTGTAGTATTAGTAAGTAGCATTAGTTGCTATTAGGGTTAGTACTGACTCGAAATTAGACCATAGGAAGATGCGCGACCTGTCAAACGAATGGTCGGCTCGGGTTAAACAAAGATGAAGCAGTGGTCTGAGATAGTGGAGTTTGTGAACATTTCTTCCTTCTCCTTGCATTCCAAAAACTTGTATTTAAATAGTTTTGAAATATTTAATACATGTCGCATAATAAGATAATACACGTGTGCAAATAATTTTTTGAATTGCACAATAGATGTGCGCAGTCGGTGCGTGTCCACTTACCACTCCCAGCTCTTGCTCCTTCTCCTTGCTGTGGGGCTTTCCGCGAAGCCTCTTAGGAATGTACCAGAAGCACACATTCACTAGCTCCGGCTGCGAAGGAAGAAAGGCGGCATCTTGCTTGCATAAAAAAAAGTGGGATGCGTAGTATCACTGTTTCAAGTGAATACGATGCACGCGCGTCATGCACCTGCCTAATTTGACGACTGCACACAAAGTAATGAGCAATGTTTTCATCAAAGATTCAAACGGTATCTGTGACGTGGCGCGCGCACACACACACACACACACACACACACACACACACACGCACACGCACACACACACACGCACACACACACACACACACACACACACACACACACACACACACACACAATCGGTCAATAGTATGGTGACGTATATAGCAAGCAGTGAGTGAAGACGAGTCTCTGTGTGAAATGAGCGCACGTGAGAAAGTGTCCACTTCGAGATGCGCTAATTGATTCCGCTTGCCGCGCCCGACTGCAAGATTTGGCTGAGCTGCTCGCCACAGCATCTGCTTTCTACTGTATGCACTTTTTTTCACCGAGCACGATCAGGCGGCGATACTTTATAGTAGCTCGTCAATCACGTTAACCACCCGAAAGGGAGAACTTTCAGGTATAACACTGATAAAAAAACTAGAAAAAATATTTGGTACCTAGTCAATACCTAAGAAAGATTAGGCAATTAAGCCAATGCGTGAAAGTTGCCGTGAAAGCAAATCTCACCTCCAATAGTAGATGGAACAGTGTCTGGCCTATCCTTGATCTTTTGCACGAGGTAGCTGGAACACAAGGAATTGCTTCAGGCTCGTGCTTATACTTTTTGGAAATCAAAGCGACAAGCAGCTCTTCCCTTCGAGAAGCGATTGAACATGCGCTGAAAACACTGTGTGTGAAAAGGCACGACTCGACGAACGTGACGAGTGGCATTTATGGAACTGCTTCGTTCACAGGTTTAACGAGTATTGCACGTCTGTTATTCTCCCGACTACACATTTGCATAGTCAAAAACGAAGTGATCCTGCGAAGCTTGCTGCATGGCACTGAGAATCTACTGACATACTTGCTTCAATTTTGACAAAAAAAAAAGTCATTCTCATGGACAAATTCTTGCCTAAAAAACGGCGAATTTTCTGTGTCTCGTTAAAACTCCGTTATGACCCACACTAATTTCTTTGCCAAGTTGCAGGTTCTATTAATAGCCGAACGAAATAGTAAATGGGTGACGCGTGCGTTATACGTTGACGAACAGCTGTGCAGCAGGACGCGTTCATGAGGATAAGAAGAGCAGCATCGGAAGAGCTTCCAGTGGAGCTCTTCTGACATGCGCTTGAATTGAACGGCACTCGTTTACGAGGAAATATTAGACGCCAGAACGTCACAAATCAGTTACAGAGCAGCACTGCTGCTATTGGACAGTAAACTTACTTGGACATGTCAAAAAGGTGGTCTATTTGTCGTTCGAAACCCACTGTCCCCTGGAACAAAGACGAGGTGTTTTCAAGTCGCACGACAAACACCTTTACTGAGCATAACAATCTATTTATAGCATGCCCTTTTTGATTAAAAAACCATAAATAATAATAATTCATGTATGGGGCATCAACCGTTGCGCATACAATTGTGATTAACGAAAAGCTGCATAAAAAAATGTCACGCACATGCCATCGTGCCACGTTCATATGTAATATTTTTACTTGAATTTTACATATCGTAACAACATGTACCGTGTCGAGTCATTCGATATCAAAGCAGATGAAAATATTGCCCAAGATGTTCTTTCTCAAAGAACGCAAAGCACCATCATAATGACAATTTTTAGTGACGTCTTCATAAGGTTACGGTGTAGGGCAACAAAGGAGACGAATGTATACTGCTGTTCCATTGACTTTCTTCTTCTTAATGATCACACGTTTTTGTCGGCCTTCCAGACTTCAATGTTTGACTAATGCTTTTACCTTTCCCCTTGTTTCTACCAAAGCCGTTTACTCTTCTATTAAATTTTCGCTGGAGCGCGCTTTGTATAGTCCTCTCCTCGTCTTTCTGTGTCATCGTATCCTGGCTTGAAATTGAGAGCACGGCAAAATCCCCTCGGATCGGTACATAATGAAAGCCGAATAGCGACTTTTGTGTTTCTCATCGTCTTTCATCACACCCTGGTTTCCAATGAGTTGAACATTCGTTTAGAGAGAAAGACAAAGGAAAAACAGGGAGGTTAGCCAGAATGCAACCGATTGGCTAGCTTACAAGGAGAAGGTGCAAAAGAAGACACCATTTTGCTGCCACAAGGAGTCATACCGAAGTTCTGGTCATGTTGCCAACATGTATCACACCATAACACCTGCTGTTGTTGTACAAATATGTTAACCACTCCTTATTTAATACTCCTAAACGGAGTCTTTAAGGCAATGAAACGAAATGATAAAAATAAGGTGAACAAGATGAGAAGAAAGAGCTGCCCACTTGAATCGAGAGTACGGTATGCCTACCTTGGCCCTCCACATGAGCCACAGCTTGAAGATGTCGTTGTGGCGTCCGCACTGGGGCACCTTATCGCCTGTGTCGTAGGACACGTCGTAATGCTTGTCCTGTTGGAACAGGTACTCGGCGCACATCTGGTTGCAGCTGAGAAGCAGGCCCTGCGAAATGCACCAGCACGTCACGCACGCCAAGGGAAAGCATTCACTCGTCAACCACTTACGTCCTCTTTAAGATGTATCGTGGAGCACTGTAAGTGCGTTCCCATCAGCTTGTGAGGGTTCCATGTCACCGAGTCGGATCTACGAACGAGATGAAAACTGGTTGGAGGTTGCGAGTGTCATGGAGCTCTCGACAAACATAGAAAAAAAAAGATGTTGCTGCGGGAGAAAAGCTGTAGGAGAATGACATAAAAATAAAACTTGGGGATGTAAGTTTTTGGTCAGATTCAAAAATCGTGAGACTAAGGATAGTCTCGGTCTTAGGCTTTTCTCTGTTTATGCATGGCTTCTGAATAGTTCTTTGTAGAATTAGCAAGCGAAGCGCGACACGTTCGTTCATTGCCAGATATTCCGGATAGTGCTCCTTCGGTAATCTGTAACTTCACCGCAAAGCATTGTTTTGTCTCGGTAGGCAGCTTTAGGTTGATGTTTCAAAAAACTGGTCTAGTTTCGAGTGCGTGAGAGTACCGGGAAGGAAGGGGGAATAAAAAGAATAAAGTAAATTGAGGCGAAGTAATAATATGCGCGCGAACACGCCAGCTTTCCCTGCGCGTAGCCAGCTCACAAACTGTTCAAGGACTGCTCGAATTTGACTATCCTATTTCGAATCGTCTGCAAGGATATTAATGAAGGCTCGAGAGGACTGGCGCCAAGGTATCAAGAACTTGCACTGCGCGTCGAGCTGATGGGTTGTGAATTCGGTGAGTATTGTGTGCATTGTGCTTAATCAACGACCTCAACACAGCGGTGGCACGTAGGCCTTCGCCGCGCAGAGACCACCAGTGGAAGCTTGCCTCAGATCTCTGTATGTGCGTGGAGGGGTGGTAATGACGGCCGCTAATTTCGTTGCCTTCGCTTCCTTTCGGCTGTCCGAATGTAATGCGTTGTCTGATGGTGGGCATGCTAGTTAAACGATTTGCCAATGATATATAAACACAAGCAAAATCTCATTCTTTCTAATAAAGAGTCTCTCTCTCTCTCTCTCTCTGATTGTGGGTTTCCAAAAAAAAAAACGCTTATCGTCATATTGGTCTTTTCTAACAATTACGTCAATGTACAAATAATTTCCTTGTTAAAAGGAACGAATCTCTAGTTGTTACTGATTGAGAGTGATTCATATTTCCGTCGATCACACGAAATGTGCGTTTAGAAATGCTGTTCTCTGTGATTAAGTTGATTTATTGTGGCTCTGTAGATGGTTGACGGACCGACGGTCAGAATTTGGCAGCGTTAACAAGATACGGTTGAGGCGTTTATGGCAGTGGCGCTCACCGTTCAACGCCGTCCAAAAGGTGGCGGTGTTTTTTAGAGAGGAGGCAACCTCCACCCCAGGCAGCCTGCAGGGAAACATAAACAAAGACGCTGCAAGGGCAAGTCAAGAGCCAAACTTCTTCTGGCCTTGTTCGTGCAATCGGCAGTATGTGATGAAGAAGGGAAATCGCACTAACGTCCACGTGAAGCCAAAGCCCGTGCCGCTGGCAGATGTCGGCGATCGGGTGAATAGGGTCGAAGGCGCCGATCACCGTCGAGCCGGCAGTGCAGTTGACAAAGAAAGGCACGTGACCGCGGGCCTTGGACGCCTGGATCTCCTTCTCCAGCACGTCCACCTTCATGCGTCCGCTGCGAGAATGCATCACTCGTCGGTCGATAGAAAAACACCCATATCAATCAAAGGGGCTCTGCAACACCTTTTGAACATGTCAGGAAACACTTCCGATCCGGTAATCGGGGTTCGTGTAAACACGTGAGTTCAACATACACCATTGTACGCGGAATATAATTTAGAATTGCGTCTCAAAGAAAAGAGAAATCACTCGCTATTCTCTCGGAAAGCTACGCAAGCGACGGCTCGACTACGTCAATGGAGAGGAGGACACGGCCATTGGCTGATTCGATGGACGTCATGAGGCGCCATAACGTAGCCTCTTCCCCTTGCGGTAACATGTAGCGACGAGCGCCGTCTAGCAGTTGGACAGGGCGTAAACTCCGAGCAAGGAAGTCATTCTTGCGGGTGCCTTGAACGAGTGTTTCTCGAACAACAACAACAACAACAACAACAACAACAACAACAACAACAACAACAACAACAACAACAACAACAACAACAACAACAACAACAACAACAACAACAACAACAACAACAACAACAACAACAACAACAACAACAACAACAACAACAACAACAACAACAACAACAACAACAACAACAACAACAACAACAACAACAACAACAACAACAACAACAACAATTCAACTGGCAATGCGCAACCAGGTGATCGAGGTTAAAGCAAAGGGGAAAATCCCCTGCTTGCAGACAATAGCCGGAAGGGTGCTGCCGATTTGTCGAAGCAGTGACGCGCGAAGCGGTCCCCCTTTTCCCGCACCATCGCGGTGGCTAACTTTTAATAACGATGAATCACTGCTCGAGGCGCCAGATCGGTGCGTCCGCGTGTTCCCGGCTTCCGTCCAATCTGCCGTTGTCGGCTTATAGCGAGCCACGCTCCTCCGGATGTGGGATAAGCAGCCTCCCAGCGACGACTGTACGCAAGTTTCCTTCTCCGAAAGTATCTCACTCGTCCATAATACCGTGCACCGCTTCGATGTTCGCGCCAAAGAGCTTGCTATTTCGTGCCGTGAGAGACATCTAAAAAGGTATCCCTGCAAGTATCTGCATCATCGCTTATATTGTTTATCTTTCTTTTCTAAACTTCTAACAAGTTTCCGAGTTTTTCGTTGCATGTTATGTATTTCACTGGTATTTTACACATGTTGCGAGCATTGGTTTGTCTCTAATTATTAGCTACACTGACCCCGTGTTCCTTGAGATGCGTTATTTCTGTTTCCATAACGTGTCGATTGCCGCATATACATTGACTCATTTACGTGACATCTATTTCAATTTTTGTATATTAGCCAACAAGTACATTTATTGTACGTGATGATTTGTGTTATTAACTCCGAGTATTCTGACGTCTTTGATTGCTATATTGCCGTAATCTATTGACTACTATTTTGTTGTAGACTGCGAACAGGAGACTTCCTTGACTGTATTGGGTGCACGTTAAAGAACCCCAGGTGGACGAAATTTCCGGAGCCCTCCACTACAGCGTCTCTCATAATCATATGGTGGTTTTGGGACGTTAAACCCCACAAATCAATCAATCCTTGACTGTATTGAAACTCCTTCTGGACGAATGATGAACAAAAGTAAGTAATGCCACTAGAGTGAGTGCGAAAGAACGATATCCTAGATATCAGCGTTGGCGACAATGATTAAAACGAAATCACATTTAACGCACACGTAACAACGATAGCTTATGCACGTGCCACAACATTGCTGGGGGATCTGGAGGAGCACACACACGTACACAAACACATGGCGCGTCGGTTACACGTGGCGAGTTGATTGCTGGCGTTGTGCAGCGAATTGGGAGAGCGCCCCAAGGCTCATCCATCGTTGTGCGCGCGGGCAAATAATTAGCCGTTCTGTCAAGCGTTATCGGGCGCACGCCATATTAGCCCGCGACAAAGGACGCCTCGCCTGCCGATTAGCTCGGCTCCCTCGTGGCACCGGCTGCACAGCATTTGCGCCGTCACCGTTATTTGGCAGAAAGGGTAAAGTTACTCCTGCTGTATTACCGATTACTTTCCGAAATACCTTAAAAGACGATTAACTTCTGTCATTATTTACAGCTGGCCACTAGGTAATGACATTACATTATTGTTATTTTTGGTACCGCTAAGAGTATGGTGATAATATCTCCGAAATACTGCCGAGTATATGTATTTCTGCATCGGTGTGCATATGAGAAATGTACCTGTATCAAGGTTGTGAAATAATTTTAGGATCCAATAATTATATCGCGATACTATGCCGGGAGCGGTTATCTCGTCACTTTTTGTGTCGGAAATGATACCACGTGTTTGCAAAGAAACACTTTTTTCTTGCGACAAGCAAAACACAGGTGCGTCATGGGTCCGTGACACTGGGAACGGGGTGAGGTATTACGCACACGCACACAACGGTCTATGTGGTAAAACACCTGACACCGCTGATGGCGTGATTGCGGAGGCAGCATTGCAAGCGTTGCCGACAATGTCACTATTTCTCAACCTGGTACAGCACCCCTAATTTTTTTTTTCGGAGGTGGGGGGGGGGAGGCAGCTATTTGATAAGTTCGCGAGTGTTGCAAGTCGAGCTGATGCTGTCTAGCCGACAGACTGTGAAACTGAGTGCAGTAAACGGAACAACCTTTCCAGCAAGTCATATCTATACAAGATAATTGTATGCTCTCTCTCAGTTCACTGATCTTCGTTAGTGATTCGGGCGACATGGTTTACCCGACGATTGAAATGCGCTGTAACATTGTTGCAGTAAATGTGCGTTTATAAGTTGACACCTATTTGGTAAATTAATTTCGAACACTTCTAATAATCTATATAACCGAATATAAACACAACTAAGCATTTTCATCACAACCCTCCTAACTTCCCAATATATTATTGGTAAGAACAAGGCTTGAGTAAATGTCATTCATTTGGTTTGAAATCAATGGTAAGTAAATGAGAAAAGTAGTAGGGCTGCAAGTAGAAGTGGCCAAATTAGTTAAGCTTTAACATTTTCTGCACTTAGCCAATCAAGGTTTTGGAACAGTCCTTTAAAGATTAAAAATAATGCTAATCAAGTTGCAGGTAATTCGTACACGTAACCTCGAAGCGCGATTTCGAGATAGTGCAGAATTTCCCTGATAAGGTGGTTTCGCAGCATAATGCATAGTATTGCTGCAAAACCATCTTTTCAGCAAGTTCTCGCGCGTTTCAAATACTTGAATATTTCGGAAACCTTAAATTCGTATCAAAGCAAGCTCAGATTGTGTCACATTTGTGAGACTATTTGCCTAGACCTATTTATATTACAAGCACTTGTGGTGTTTCGCCAGTTCTATCTTGTTCTACTGCGACTGCCAAAGCTACCATGAAGCGGCAACTTTATTCTAAAGTCATACAGAGCTCCTCAAGCTGTATGACATCATGGCGATAAAAGCGGTGGCAATACGGTCATACAGTGTCGAACATGGCATAAATCACTCCATTGACCTGCAGAGTCCCTGGATGAAGAAGTCCAGTATGATGCTAGTTCCTATTATTTATTGTTTAATACCAGCTGGCTATACAATAATGTGCAATTTGGCACCATAACAAACCAATGCTTTGAGATGAACATTCATTCACTTCAGCTAATTAATATCAATGTATTTACTCTCTGCAAGAATGTGTTAAAACTTGATGCTATACAAGACTCAACATATTTCAAACCAGTATTGAGTGGTTAAGAGACGCATAGTTGAATTCCGCGTGAAGGTTCTCATCTGTTTTTATCATAACTCACGAATCGCTTTTCACGTGCTCAACACAGGACTGCTCGTGTTGATATATTGGCTTTTTTTTAAATACGTGGTTAATAATTAAGAGATCGTTTGTCTACGTCACTGAGTCCATGGCTCCTATGCGTGCTACGCTTTTTTCCGCGAAAAGTAAATACATGTGTAACTACAGGAGGAACCCAACAAAATCATTCAAATGCGACAAAAAAAAAAGAAGATGTGAAAGAGTCCACATGGTTTCGCAGTTATAGACGACTTTAGAGGACTCACCACTTGTCGACGGGTATGGAAACCACGTTGTCTGTGCCGAGGCCAATGGATGCACCAGCACCCTTCACTGAGTAGTGGCTCTGCGGGTAAAAAAAAGAAGTTTGCTTCTTTATGCACTGAATTTCCATTTATTGTGTGTCTTCCCAGAATGCAGGGACAAAACATAAACCCATCTGGAAAACGGCGCACCATGATTGTGTTGTGAACTGCGACCACTCTTGTTTTTCCTCTCTATTTTACCACTTCATTCCCCTCTCCACGTGCAGGGTAGCAAACTGAACAGCGTGATTATCTTTCCCTGTATTACACTCCACCTCTCTCTATCATTCTCTCAGAAATCCACGTTTACTTTCTGTATTCTCTCTCACACTTTGACACTGTGTGCGTCATTACGTCCGATTACTGTAGACAACAACGACATAATGAACACAGCGCCTACGGGTGACATTTTTCGCCAACGTTTGATTGTTTAAGACAGCCATGTCTTCGGGAGGTTCTGTTACCTGAATTTTTATGACCACTGCAGTATTAAAATGTACAGTGAAAGTCATCAACTCTTGCATGCTTGTTCATCTCCCAGTGCATTTTAAATGAACGTAAAGCTGTGACTCTTGCTCGCTCTTTGACAACGTGATATCTTCCAGTCATTGTGTGGTTCTGATGCTTTGCAACAAAGTAGATAAATGTGTGTAAAAAAAAAAACGCATTGTCGACTTGCTTTTTGCGCTAGTGCCGATGGAATATATGTGAAGATTTAGGTATTAACGTGCTCATTGCTTTCTACCGATAATATATTGAAACACGGGACGTAGTTGGTTTACTTCTGCGGTACATGGCTCGCACGTGCTACGAGCAATCGGTCTCAGCGTTATCCCGCTATTTTACGAACGTTGCGCCCAAAGAAATACCTAGTCCCGGGAGCGGCTGCGTGCATTTTGCGAGCGCCTGCGGTGACCGCCGGAGCGGAATATGCCCAATTCATTCCGCGCAACTGAATCTTTTCCGGCGTGCCACCGAGCGCCCGGGCAACAGACACGACTCGCCGGCTGAAGCCAGCGTGCCGCATGGACGAATCCCGGTCGGTCCAGATGACGGCCGACCTCTTGCCGCCGCCGTCTTCTCCTTCCCCCTTTCCCGTTGTCTTGTGCAGAGTAGCCACCTTCCCGAGAGCCTCCTTTCCCAAAACGTTCTCGACGCGCTCCCCCTTTCCCGTTGTTTTAATGCGGGGAAGCAAAACGATCATTTTCCGGCTAGGGAGGAGGAGGATGGGCGCATCTCCTCCCGTTTCGTGTAACGTTTCCCGAGCAGGCTCACCCACCGAACACGCCCAACGGTGCGCGCGGGCAATTTGCAAGTCTGACTTTTTTTTTTTCTTTCCTTCCCGCTTCCCCGGCAGCTTCCTCATAACCCCCGCCGTGTATCCCCTCGTACGCGGCGTGCCCGTTTGTTATCAGCGGTGGACAGAACGTCATTCCTGCGCGGTTGCCGACCATTCATCGCCCGCCGACTGCTTCTGTCGGATCCCCGCTGGCGAAGTTATCCTCAACTCGAAGCCATGAAAGAAAAAAAAAAAGGTGAACGTGGCGCGTGCGCGGAATGACTGGCGGCGCGTTTCGGTCGTCACATTCGCGGAACTTTGTCGCTGCAAGTCGGGGCAAACATTGTTCCTCGAGCGTTTTTCAAAATTCCTCTACCGACCACGGCGTGAGACGAAAATTGAGTGTGTTCGCCGAAGTCGTTATTATGCGGCAGTTTCAAATTACGGGGACGGAACGCGTTCAACGCTGAATGCATCCATGGTGTTGACCTTCACGCGTGTGTGTCATAAACGACGAACGAAGCACAGCTATGCGACAGCGGGTGACCACGTTCTATGACTGTGAATGACTTCACATTATTTGGCCTTTCTTTCTGCTAATGCTAGTTGTGCAATTAATTCAATTAAAAACTCATTTGGTTGTTCTTAAACAAACCAAATGAACTTTACTATGAATTATTTGTTATGAGGCATACGTCGTATAGTGGCAGAAGCAAATTACTTTTGCCGCGTACTTGCAGCTGAATACACGGGTGTCCTAAGCATTTCACTCTCATCGAAGTGCTGCAAGAATCGAATGTGCACACGATCAAAGAGAGAGTTCGATATGACTTTCCTACAAACTAGATAATCAGCCATAAGAGCTGTTAAGGATATAGAGTATTTCTCCACGTTTATTAGTTGACTACAGCTGAATAGTTTCCTCAATGTCGCAAAAGTTACCACATATGCGGGTGTTCCAACTATCTAGTTTATGTTGCGTTTAATAAAAGTTCTTTTTGACTGTCTGAAAGTGGGGTGAATATGCGCATTACGGTAGTTTACCGCGTGGTAATTGCATGGTAATGTAGTCTTTTAGGAAGTTACGAAACAGGGTATGGAGATTACGTATACAGTACTACCACTCCAACTTTCTCGCTCGTTATGCTTAACTCCTACACCCTAGGCAGCCTATACATGACTACCCGTTTTACCACACCCACAGTGCGTCCCCTAACGACAGGTTTTTTGTTAACAGCGCTGATGCTGAGAAGCAACAATGAGACCTCACAGAATTTAGCGGTAATGTCATGAAGAAAAGAAAAAAAGATCATTCGGATTTGGAGTGCCTACTACACCAACGAGTCCATCTCGCTGGTGTAGCCGTTACGATGCTCTGCTTCTGAACCGAAGGCCGCGAGTTCAATTCCGGCCGTGGTGGTCGCCTTTCGATGGGGAAGAAATGGTACGAGACCCATATTCTGTGCCATTCCAGGGCACGCGTGTAAGAACACCAGATGGTAGAAATTACCGGAGCCTAGGGCGTCTAGCATAATAGTATCGTAGTTTTGGGACATTAAATGTCAGATATTATTATCAATTATCAGACACTGTGGTCCGGCTACTGATGCACAGGTCACGTGATCGAACCCCGGCTGCGGTGGCTGCATTTCCGATGGAGGCGGAAATGTTGTAGGCCCGTGTGCTCAGATTTGGGTGAACGTTAAAGAACCCAAGGTTGTCAAAATTTCCGGAGCCCTCCACTACGGCATCTCTCATAATCATATGATGGCTTTGGGACGTTAAACCCCACAAATCAATCAATGGTGGTCGCATTTTCGTGGGAGCGAAACGCAAAAACGCCCACTTGCATCGAGTCAGGTGCGCGTTAAAGAGATTGGGGGTCGTCGAAGCTGACGAGGAGTCCACTGACTGAGGCCTCATCATAAGGAGCTTCTCTTTTAGCACGCACTTTAGTTTGAAAATTGGTTGTTTTGCACTACGGGATCAGTATTGAATAACTTGGACGCCTTGTTACTTGTGCACAATTTTTATGCAACACGTCCCAAGCGCCTCAATGACTGGTCTGTCTTCTGCTTATACATAGTCATTATTATCATCGTCAGGCGTGTATGGCACGAAAACTAGGACCATAAAAAAAGAAACTCGAGAATTAGTTCAGAACCGCGGAGCTTGCGATGGAACGAAAAATAATTCACATAGCTTTGAAAGAAGAACAGAGCGTAGTGGACCAGAGGACAAACATGGGTATACGGACGACATTCGATATAGACAACATTGAGAAGTAGACCCGAGCACGTCACGTAATGCGTAATACAAATAACCGGTGGTCAGTTAGGGTGACGGATTGAATAGATAGATACCAAAATAGGGTAAACGTAGCCGAGGACTGCCAAGGGCTAAGCAGAGCGACGTTATAAAGAAGTTTGCAGCTATAAAGAAGAACCAGCTCGCACTATAGACAGGCTATAGCTGGGAGAAACCTCTGTCTTGAAGAACATAGGGTGATGATGATGATAACAGGCTTGTGGCCGCCGTTTTGAAGTTTCTCAAGTGGAGGCTAAGCCAGGCCGTGTCTCTGGCACTGCAACATAACGCATACAGACGAAAAAAAAAAAAGTTTGCTTCGGCACGCGCAGCCATACTGGAGCTAGCTCACTCACCATGCTTATGAAAACAAATTGGGCCGTAAAGGAAATCCTCAGGAATCACGCCCGACTGGTGTCATACGTCGTACGATCTTTAAACGTGCGTAAGCCTCCGGTGAAAATCGGGAAAAAAAAAGAAAAAAGAAGAGAAAGGCATCCTGCATGCAACCCGTCCCAAAATCCCGCTTCGAAATGCCTGGCCAGCTCCGTCCCCCTTTTCCCGCGTGGAATTCCCGTTGTGAGACAAGTGTAGCGATGCTCCGTCCAGTTTCAGCTGAGCCCCCATATTAACTTTCCAGCTTGCTGAACATTGAAACAAGGAAGGCCCGCTCCATGGGGACGCTGCTGGAATAACGAAGGAAGCGCTATGACGCGCGAGGGGAGATCATCGCGGGTGGATCACGGCTCGGGACCAAAGCGCGCCAGAGCGAGTTTTTCTGGCATCGGCTGTGCTGTCGGGATTACAAACGTGCTTCCTACCCCGAACCCGCCTACAGCTGGCTTTCGTGGGGGGAGGGCTTAATCCGCGCAAGATGGGCTCTCCTAGGCCGCCCCGCGCCGATCAATCTCGCGCTGCGAGAACCACTTCATGGCTCCCCGGAGGTAAGTAATTACGCTGACAGCCACGATTGATTCTCCGCCAGTGGTTCGACCTCGGTCTCGTCGCAGCTCTCTGGCGCGGACCTGTGACCCGGGCGGCTGACCGTGTGTGCCGAAACTGGCGAAGGCGTTGGTTCTCAGAAATTCTGCGCGTTCGTCGGAAACATTTAGAGATGCGTATAGCCCCGCTTTCAGAAGAGGACTAACTATAGTTATTGATAGAGCAAGCTTAAAATAACATAGGGATGAGCTAGTTGATAAGTATTGATTATGAGAGACAGGGTGGGCGAACACGGCGTTAGTGGTGTCTTGACTTTCTTCTTTAGTGTCCGCGTCTGCTCGTCCCGTCTTATAGAAGCGAGCTTTAGCGAGAAAACTTGGAACGAGCCTTTACTTTCGTACATACTTGGCGCTCCCCAAGCACGCGGGGTGTTCAGAAAAAAAAATTAACAGAAGTATGCATTCAAGAGATGCTGTCGAAGTGAGAAGATTTACGTAGACTAAATAAGCAGCAGGTATCAGTGTACGTTTTCCTCCATAATTTGCCCGCAGTAACGAAAGGCGGCTGCATGTGTGCAGTATGAGTCTATATTTCGCAGTATCTTACTGGAGAACGGAGCCGAGACTAGGTGGTTGTGGCTGATTACAACAGTCACGTGTGAATGGGGCACGCACATGCCCAAATTTCACGGCGTCGTGTGTGGCTTCTGGCGTGTGTTCGCCCGCGCAATAATGCCAAGTCCGCATCATGATGTGCATTATACATGAAGAATTGAATCCGTGATTGTGCAGGCACCGCCCCCCGCTGTACATGTCATTTCGAGCAGCCCGGACAGTCATGAAGTCATACCGATTGGCCCCGTAGCAGCTTTACTTAAAAACAAATCACCATTATATTTCATTTGCTTGTCAATTTTAAACGGCACGTATCGGCCTTCGTAGAGCGTCGGTCACTTGGCGAGGCATGCAGTGGTGACGTACGTAGCAGTGGTCGACAGCTAATATTGTCGATCACGTGAGCGTTTCTTATGGTAGGGTGTCCGATTCATTCAGTGCAATCCAGTGGTTATAATAATAATAATAATAAGGGTTAATAATAATAATAATAATAATAATAATAATAATAATAATAATAATAATAATAATAATAATAATAATAATAATAATAATAATAATAATAATAATAATAATAATAATAATAATAATAATAATAAGCTGCGTTTAAAATTAAAGGGCAGTGTTAGCCAAAAAGTAAACGCTAAACTGCGACAGCTTAACCGACTTCGTTGCATGGCGTAATTTCACTGCCTATATTCGTCTCCGCTTCCTATGGACTGAGCAAGTTGCGGTCTCACACACGCAGTCTGAACGCTTCGCACTGTGTCGGGCTGCTGCTCCCTCGATCCCATTGTGAGCAGCGCCAGTCCGTGCGCAGTATAGTTACAATACGCGCCAGCCGCAGTGAGTCAGACGGGGCAGAACGTCGAAATGACGGCCGCAGCAGAGCAGGAAAAAAAACGAAAAAAAAAGCGAATGTGGATAGAGGCTGGAAAGAAAAACATTCCTGAGCAGCACAGCGTGTCGGGGCACCGTTGCAAAAGAGGCACTTTGGCGAGGGGCTCGCGTCGCAGGGGGAACAAGCCTCTGCTGCTGGCGCCACCGCTGTGCAGGAGTTGTCGCTCAAGAAACAGCCGACTCCGCACTGCGCGTGTTCCGGTCGAAATGAAACCAATAAGGCACGCGCCGATTAGGGAGGGACACGCGCCCGAGAAGGGGGAGCGCGCGCAAGCTGTCGCCACCGTTCTCCGCTTTGCGTCGCCACTTGCCTCTCATTGTTTCATTTCGCCCTCACGTCAGCCGGTGTCGACTTGGGGCCGGGCCTGTTCGCGATGCACGAGTGGAGAATAATGCGTGTGTTCGTAGCTTAAATAGCATGACAGACGAAAAATGTCTGAAAAAAAAAAAAACGTCCGCGGTTCCTTCAGTAATCAGAAAAGCGAGAGTGAGGGGACCACCGAAATGCATTAGAACAAAGAGATCAACATTTTTGCTATTTTTTTTTTGGTGCAATACATTACTCGCAGTTGATTCCAAGTGAAAGCGAATTTAGTAGATAGCGCTATAGTTGAATCGTGCAAATAATACCCGCATAAATAAAAAAAATTCGTTATTCTAGAAACTATTGAAGTATACTGTGCCGATAGGGTGATAACTGGCTTTTGCCCTCTTTCTTTAGGAGGCTTGAAGACAAAATACACCAAGTTGCCCAAACCGATTGTTTCACTCGACCGCATCGTCAAAGAATCTTCAACACCCCGGTCTTCCTGAAACAGGGCCAAATGAAAGCGCGCTTCACCGGGCTCGATCAATTCATTAGTTCTTGTATGTTGGCTTTCATGCGTGGTTTATGAACCACGCTTGGCTACCGCCAGTACAGTGAGTGGCGCAAAAATATTTGCATTCATTCCCTATGGAAAGTACTGCCCATAACATTGTGCATGCTCAGCAACACAGCTACGTAACGAACTGACAAACAATGTGTTTTAAAGGAACATTAACGAGAACAATAAATGTTTTGTATTATTGAACTAGAAAGTCTCGCTGTATCCGAAGCAACGTTGTTGTCCCGACAAGGCGCTTGAAAAGCGACAAAGCACGTGCAAAAAAAAAGAAAAAAAAGCAACGAAGCGTTGATTTTCCAGCACGACTTTCAATGACGTCATAGATTTCGGTGAGTGACTTTTTATTAAGGCCTACGTACTTGTTTATCGGTAAAATACTGTCTGCGTTGCATTGTGAGGAAACCAAGCATGATAGCATACAGCAGGGTCCAAAAATAACAACAAAAAACTTCATTCAACGAATGCGACAAAAATACCGAAAAAGACTGAAGTTTGTGACGTCAGACCAAGTCCACATGCTTAAGTATCGGCAATGAAAAACAAAAAAAAAAAGCTTTCGACCTTCATTGCTTATTGTGAACAATTAACGTCTGACTGACGAATTCCAGTACCATGGTTAGGGTGGATAATCTGGAATTTTAATTTAACGTCAGCTGACGCGAAAAGCAAGGTGACTATAAGACCGGCAAAGCCAGTTAAAGTGTGAGGCCATATCATTATCGCCTGAATAAATTGTTTTATCTGAATGCAACTACTGCACGAATACCCTGCGACAACGCTGTTTGTATTAGCTGCACTTTCTTTTTTTTTGGAATAAGTGCACTACGCAATAAAAAACATTACAACATGGACAACACAGACAAACAACGAGAGGCGCTGCTGTGCAGCTTGGCCTTCATGCGTTAGCTTTGCCTGGTCCAACGGGCCGAGATGATGACAAGCCTACCGGAGCCCTGAAATTGGGGACCGAACATTTTCAATGTCCCACGTCATGTGAAAATGAATTCTCTCTCTCTCCCTCAATAAATCCTGGCCATTACACAGGCGGGAGCCCGTCCCATAAAATCGCACCACTTTTCATCAAAGTTTTTTTACTGTATGTAAACATTGTTGTGGGTAGCAACACTGTGTGTGTGTGTGTGTGTGTGTGTGTGTGTGTGTGTGTGTGTGTGTGTGTGTGTTGATTGATATGTGCGGTTTAACGTCCCAAAACCACCATATGATTATGAGAGACGCCGTAGTGGAGGGCTCCGGAAATTTTGACCACCTCGGGTTCTTTAACGTGTGTGTGTGTGTGTGTGTGCGTGTGCGTGTGCGTGTGCGTGTGTGCGTGTGCGTGTGGTGTGCGTGTGCGTGTGTGTGTGTGTGTGTGTGTGTGTGTGTGTGTGTGTGTGTGTGTGTGTGTGTGTGTGTGTGTGTGTGTGTGTGTGTGTGTGTGTGTGTGTACGTCGTCCTCTTGGAGCCTTTAACTTCAGGTGACGTCTGTGGAGCTGTTAAAAATCACTTTGTCTCTTTAAAATAATTTCACGTTTCTCTTTAGTTTATTTTCAAATAACTTTACAATGACGAGTAGAAAGGAATCGTTTCTGCATCGCTGCCATAAGAAGTATAGGGACTCACGTCTTCTGAGGTGTACATGACGAGTTGCGGCAGTGCCTTGAGGCCCAAGGTCTTATAGCTGGGGAACATCTTGTGCCGCGCCGCCATCACAGCGTACAAGTTGGACACGGAGCCGCCTGCAATAAAAAAAAAGTTCGTAAAGAGAAAGGTGTTCCGACAGGGGAGAAGAAAGGAGCTTTACAGAGAATGGATAGAAGTATGCCTCGCCTTTGTGAAGTGCAAGCTGCAGTGGGACAATAGAGACGATTTTCTCTCCTCAAAGCTCTTACAGCATTTCTCTCCTCAAAGCTCTTTCAATAGTTGCTGCGGTTTCTACCAAGATGGACTCGCCATCTAGTTGCACTGCAGATTAGTTTCTAGTTCAACCCTCGCGTCATTTGAGAAACATTGCATTTAACAATTTGTTGGAAGACGCGCAGAGACATAATAATCTGTACTTGCTCTTTTCTGCGATCATTGTCACCATGAAATTGGTCACGAAAAATCGACGCATCTTCACGAAGTGAAGGATGACAAGTGGTCGAAGCACTGGGGATCGTTCTTGGCGTAAATCAGCCGTGACATTGCCCACTCACCATGCATGAGTGGTAAATGATGACAACGTGTGTGTACAGCATATACAATGAATTTTTTGCCGTTAAGCCACCCCGATTTCAACGCCTTCAACTCCTGAGTAGCACCTTGCTGTTGGTGTATAGGCGTTGAGTCGCTGCATAGCCGCCCTCTCGCCTCATGAGCTTGTGGTCGCTGTACCATGATGGCAGCGTCATGGTCATCGGATACCTTGCATGTGCTAACGCGCTTGTTCTTCATCTTCATCATCATCGCATACAGGAGTTGCCTTGCATAGGCTGTGGTGGAACAACGGGCAACGCACAACGGACAACGCTTGGTTCTCGTATCTTAAAGATGACCGTGGTCCCTCGTGCACTTGAGGCAACTTAAATCTGAAAGCGTGTGCGACCTTTATAAGATGGCCGGGGCTTTTTTTTGTGTGACACGAGCGCTGCGAAAACAATAAAACTCACAGCTCGCGTACCACGAACCAAGTGTCTTTTGGTTGCGAGGTGACATTAGAGGCGATGTCATGACGTTACCTCGCGGGAGGCGTAAGCCCTGGTCAGTTTTCAACCTCGCAGGACGTTCAATAAAATTGTGTCTATTAGCCATCTATTTCCTAATCAGGCTTTAGTTTCTGCCTGATAAGGCATATAAGGCTGTTCTTAACAGATCCCATGGCACAAGATAATGTTTGATGCTCGTACGTGAACTGTGTTGTAAATTTTATGGATGCTAAGTCCCTATGATGCCTTGGCTTCTATTAAGCATGCGAACTTGGTTGCCGATGTCTAATAATATTCTTTCTTCGGGAACAATAGGGGATTTGAAAAAAAATCATCACATTTTGGGGTAATAAAATAGGAAAGAAATGAAGTGGATGGATGCGTAGCCATGAGGGCCAGAATGAAAGAGCGAAACTCGCAGTGGATCCCTCAAGTCGACAGCTCGACTAGGCAGGCTGCTGTGCTTCGTTTGTTATTGTTGCCCACATTCGATGCACGTGAACGGGGCTGGCGATGTCATCTAGCAAGCAGGCAAAGAATGAGAACAAAACAAAGAGTCTTTTTTTTGTTTGATCAGACAATAAATACAAAAAATAAACCAGCGACAAAACCACAGAGCTGCCGCGCTGAAAGTACAAAGTCAAATCGTAAAGTGCCTTTTCTGCCTCCCTCTAAAAGTATCACTGCAGTACTTCGCTGAGCTGAAGCGAACCTGGATATCTAAGCCATATGTAGATACAAAAAAAAAAAGCGCGTAGCTTTTATATTGAAACTGTGCACTGGTCCGAGAAACAGCGTTTTCCTCCGGTAAAAGAAAAAAAATATATTGCGAGCTGTATCCGAACTGAGGAAAATAACATTTTCAGTGGTTTGTAGCTTCGTACATTAAAGTGCCTAAGTTTGAAATCAAAACATGGATTACGTGCAACCCAACTTTGAACTTTTTTTAGGAGGAGGGATAAAAAACGCTTACGTCCTGGAGCCTCAGAATAACGTAAAAAAAAAAAAGGAGACGTTGGATAAATGCTACAACGCGCCATCTGCAACACATGTTGGAAATGAAAACACGAAGCAGCTACAAATTACCATGGTTCACTATATGAAACAAATTAGGCTTCTACTTCATCTTCTTTTTTTTTTTTAACGGTTGGTCTGAAAGGAAAAAAAAAAGTACCTACCACATGACCGCATGTTTTTTAAATGACCGCTCTCCCAGTGCAGAGTGCTGTGTGGCTAAACTATTCTCGAACGAATAGACGCAAGATGGGTATGGTGAGATGAAACATGTTGAGCTAAAACGCGAAGTTTCAAGCTTGGGATCTGGAAATAAATGTTGACGCAGCCCATGTCAAAACGTATCGTTCGTTATAGCAGGTAGTGTGAAAAAAAAGAAAAAAAAAACGTGATGGAATAGGAAAGGGAGCTTCGTCTGTTTTTTTCAAATTGTTTGGTGATGATGGACGAGCAGAGAAGGCTATACTATGCCACAAAGAGGACTGCGAAAAGTGAAGACCGGACCAAATCTGCTCATCCGCCATAACACTTCAGCGACGTTACTGCTGGTGATTGCAGGGCGCAGCTCGGGTAATGTTTCATGCTGAACGAAACGCTTCTCACCGAAACGGAAGTCGAATGTGTGAACATGATTGACATCTGTTGCATAAGTGAGACACGAAGATCCACTTGCGTGAGTAATCTCACAGTCGCGCCAAGCTTAGGGCATGGCCATCAATTAGGTTTAGTTCGTTGTCTGTCTGTGAATAGGTCTCCATTTGCTCTTGTTTCGGTCAAGTACAGACATATTCTTGAAAGGGTGGCACGAGCGTCTATTTTCGGCACTTACCCACCGTGGTGTAGCTCTGCAGCTGCGGATTTCAAGGGCGTGGGTTTGGTTACCGGCGACGGCGGCTGCGTTTCGTTGAAGGATGACGAGGATGACGTTCGTTGAAGATAGAAGTACTCAAAGCACCCGTGTGCTTAGATTCATATGCGCGTTACAGAACACCAGGTTTTAATTATACGACGTGAGCATGAGCAACCATAAAGGCTGAATTGTAGCGCTCGTGAAAGCAATATCATTTTATCATGCATCAACTCACCCAGTCAACAGTACTTGCCGAAATTTCTCTGGAGCCCTCCACTACGGCCTACCTCATAGTAATACCCTGGCCCTGACTCATGAAACCGTAGAATGTTATGATGATAAACTCTACGCATGACACCCTTGCTAATATTTTTCCTATTTTCCGAGTGCTTCTTTAACACGCGTGGATAGACGCTTTTTGCCGCGCTCTTTAGTGCATAGCTCTCGACTTTGGTGTGCTCGACGAATACGCTGCATACACTGGAAAGCCCACGTGGCGCTCACCGGGTGCCAGGATGCTGTCGCCGTTGGTGTAGCCTATGAGATCTCGCATCTTCTTCATCACCACGTTCTCCATCAGTATGAACACGGGAGCGATCTCGTACGTGAACCTGCAAAACCACGAGCGCTGGATTATAGATCTGCGTCACCGGGTCCATGCGTCCATCTGCTCGGCAATGCATGGCACTATGCGGTTCCACTTACCTTTCTCTATTTCGTATTTCGTGGTATCTTATTGCCTAATCTTGCGCATTTATCAACATATTGTAATCAGCTAACTAGCCTCTCAGGGCATCAAGCTGGACATCAAGCATCTCGATGTATAGTAATATTACCCTGCTATTTGTGGTTGTGAATGCAAATCTATTTATTTTAAACATGAGGCATTAACAATCTATTGCTTCGGTCAATATGTTTCGAAGAATCGCTATCTTTACCTTCTTGTCTTGCCTGGGTGAAAGCAAATTTACTGTGCAAATGGTGTGGTTGTACATAGCGTTTGCTTGCTTTGCCAGTTTATTTTCAGTTGAAGATTTGGAGCGCGAACACTGCTAAGTGTCTGGATGATTTATTTGCTTTTGTTTATGCACTGTGCCTACAGTACAGAAAAATCCGAAAATTACGTTGAGGTCCGAATGAGCGCTGTTTTCATTCACCATGCTGCAACTACAAGCCCACATTTCAGTAATTTCCCGGAACTATGAGTATCAAAACTGTATCATATACTGAAGTACGTCATGATTTGACATGGCGGCACCAGATTCCCGCTCCAGGGCAAACCATATTAACCCGTCTGTACCAGTGCACGGCAAATACCAAGCTGTTTTCACAGCTTTTACCTGCCATCCTCGTAACGTGTTCTTGTCGCAGAATAAAACGCCAAGTTCAATTTCAATATACAGTCGCAGAAAGAACACACTTCGCGTGCTCATACATAAAACTGGAGCTATGAAATTCGCTCACACTAGCATCAAGTGCACACCACCAAGCCAAGTATCCCGATCTGCAACCCCGTATTACATCCAATCTCTGAGAATCTCTGAGAATCCGAAAATGCTTGTTCGTTTACTATTGAAATGATTAACTGACAATGTTATCAACACAGCGGGTAGATTTTCTACTATAACTTAAACAGGTGAGCGGGTTGAAAAAGATACTTATTCGAGAAATTAGCGCGAACGCGATGGAGACACAATACTAGAAGTATGCGGTATTAGCGCTGTCTAACAACGGAGCTTCGCTGACACAAAACTGACAAAGCAAAAAATTCACTCCGTGCACGTGCAAGAATCTTGGGTCATGCAAAAGAACTCGCTAAGCGTGCGTATCTTGTGCTATGGCAAACAAACAGAAGATACAGATATGCCGTAATCATATATCATTACAAGCGTACATAGGCCAATTAGGTAATTGCATCAATCAACGTCTTCACCGACACAAAATACGTTAAAGAGAACGCCAACGTCGCATTTTTTCAGCTCATTGCAGGTGATGAGCGTGTAACCCTTTTAAAGCTACGAAGGCCCGGCTGAAAGTTTGTACAATCAACCGTCCTCGCTGAACGACTAAGGCACTCCCGAGCTTAAGTGCGTGTGTGTTTTTATTTACATTTTTGATCGTTTTTCTTATTCTTTTTTTCCGTACGTTCTTGTCCACCTTACCCCTTACCCATTGCAAGGTAGTGAACCGGATGATTTCCTTCTGGTTAGCCTTTCTTAACTTTTTTCTCTCTGTCTTTATCTACCAGCCCACAAAGTTAATTGAATACGTTACTAATAACAGTGTAAAGTATTTTATTTAAAATTACTTAATTACTTTATTTACTTTAATAAAATATATTTCTATTACTTGCGAGTCTGCTATAAATTAATGAAAGATGTGGAAAACTATAAGGGCTCGTTTTCCTTTGTTAGACGCGATTTTAATGAGCGTGTACAGACAACGATGCCAAGGAAAGTATAAGGGACGTTAATAGTAGTCATTGTAGCGTAAATGTGAAGAAAGAAAAGTGGACGAAAAGATAGCCCGCCGCTGACAGGAACCGAACCTGCGACCTTCAAACGAAGCCTTCGATTCGCTACCAACTTAGGTTCAGCGGTGGCCATTCCCCCGTCAACTTTACGGGGTACATTTATGTATTTCAAACCTGACAGTGCCAGTCAGCGCTAAAGGTAGCGAGGACGGCGGCCGTGCAGCGCCCCCTTTCTGCCTGTTGGCGTCATGCAGCACGTCATCTTAGTACAATACGTCACGCATCCTTGGAATTGTCTGTTATTTCTCATTAACGAGACTGCTCTAAGCAGCACAAGGGTAACTGGGCAGCCGGTTGCTCACAAAATTTGAAAATCCTCGTGTCTATTTCAGTTGTCTGCAACGCTCCATGCTTTTATTACTTCTACTCGTGTTTTTTTAGGTTCCTGAAAAAAAAAAAAACGCTATACTTGTTGCGTTGCTAAATAATGAAAAAAAAAAAACCATGAATCACGACGTCCTCTAACTTTCCCGTTTAAATCGCCATTCCCGAATTCAATAACGAGAAGGTTAATGAACGTTTTCATGAATGGGTATTTTCGATATAACGGTGGCAAGAATATATGCATCGACGTTGAGCTTCGTTTGTGAAGATCAGCAGGCTTATCGTTTGTGAAGACAGCAGAATTATCGTATAAAAGTTCTAATTCTTCTTAAAAAAAACATCCGTATAAGAAGCTGTTGTATCTATGGTTCCTGAAGAATTTCTGTTCTTACCTAAGTTTGCCCAGGCTCTAACTGAGGCTTCAGTTTATTTGTTTGTTCTGGTAGAGTGCATGTGCATTTATATTTATTTACATATTTGTGTTCACAATCACCGTTATATTATTCTGCTGTTACTTAGTGTATGTAAATAAATAAATAAACAAATACAATAAGTAAATAAATAAATAAATGAATAAATAATAACGCTTGCTCAAGAGCACACGGGAACAGCACCGTAATATCCAAAAACGAAGTTTTTTAGAGAAAAAAAAAAAGACGTCCTCTCACATGTTAGTGTTGGCTGTTGCGCTGAGCCACTCGCCGGCCAGGGAGACAATGTCCAGGCCACTTGATAGCTGGTTGAAGAAATGTGGGTGGCCTTGGGAGAGAAGGAAAAGCTCGCATCACTGTGCTGCTCGTGTATACCTTTGGACACAACACTCCGCGCTTCATTATTCACGCGTAAACACGCGAACGTCGTTGCACTTCGGGGTTTACAGTAACACCTGGGACCGTACCTAGAGGAATCTATAACAATGCCGAACGTGGAACTACTGAGCACACAAGAATGTTTCTACGACTGTATTAATCAGTCGCATGAGTCCGGAAAACTCCCAGGTGAAGACATAAATCAGAATATGGCGACCATTTTTTGAACACATATTTGCGTTGCGCGAAAAAGACACGGACGAAGGGGAGTGAACGACATGGGCACTCCCCTTCGTCCATGTCTTTTTCGCGCAACCCAAATATGTGTTCAATTATGCACACACTTGCCCAAACTGAAGCTCTACTGCGACCATTTCGTTTGTTTAATTATGTGTTCTATTTTATTTAAACGAGAATTTTATCATGCATTGTCATAAGGAAGGAAGGAAGGAAGGAAGGAAGGAAGGAAGGAAGGAAGGAAGGAAGGAAGGAAGGAAGGAAGGAAGGAAGGAAGGAAGGAAGGAAGGAAGGAAGGAAGGAAAATAGGAGGAAAAGAACGGCAGGGAGGTTAACCAGCCTATAGGCAGCCGGTTTGCTACCCTGCGCATGGGAGGGGGTGGGGGAGATGAAAGATAGAGAGCAGGGAGGGAAGAGAGATAAACACAGCACATTCGGCAGCACACGCGCGCACATGCATTGTCATAAAGTTTTAAAGATGAGCATAGGGTCTGAGCTTGAGTAATTGCATTTCTCTATACAGTTTTCTTTCAACCCGTCGAGCGGCTCTTGTGATTCATGTAATCTCACGCAGCTGAAGTGTACTCAAGACAAATACATGTTAAAATTAATCAGTTAAAAAAACGTTGTATGCCTTATACCTAACCGTCAAGTAACTCAAATATATGACGTTCTAAAGCTAAACTTCAAGAGGTGTGTCCCTTCCAGCCTGAAGACAAGGGGGGTCCGGACCCCTCTGAAACCTCTATGGTTTACGCCAATGGTGTTAACCGCGAAGCTGTTCTTGGTCGAGCCTTCCATGTCCGCAATCCGTGGTAACGCTTGTAAGCACATCGTATAGACGGATGTGAGCCACAGACACAGGGTAAGTCCCACTACTAACAGCTGGTCCACTAATAATAAAGACGACAGTTATCCCAACAAACGGGTACGTGCCGTAGAAATCTGTGCGACCTATCAGAAAAATGTCATCACAAGCGGGTATGGGCCGCAGAAATCAGGTAAATCCCACCGCTACACACAACTTCCACTAAAAAGAAAGAAGACAACAGTTATAACCCAACGAACGGAATGCGTGTTGACATAGTCACGCCACTGTCACGTGATACTTTATGTCTAAAAAATGGTGGTGGCTATGTCACCACCTCAATGCTGAACAAGGAGTGTTTAATAAAGACAAGGGATTCAACATATCGGAGCATCTTAAACGAAGTCTTCATTCGTCGACCTTTATATAAAATGGTATGGCCGAGATTCAACTAAAACACCTGCCTCAAAGCTTAACAAAGAGGGTTCAATAAAGATCAGTGATACAAGCTTATCTGAAAGACATGCCGAGCCTAGAAATGCGTTAGCCTGACAAACGGTACGTCACCAGCTGCGCTGTTTCATCGGTGCCACGAAGCGTAGCTGGTTGAATTTTTCAACTCGGAACTCTAGTATAGGATTCAGATGCGGTATAAGAAACAGTGACTGAGAAAGCGGAATGAAATCACTAAATCGCTTTTAAGAATGTCCCTCTAGCAAAGAAAAACGTTCAGAACCGAAATCTTGCACTGCAGCTCACTAAGAAGCTTCGCACACACTCACACACACACCCTTGTGAGACCTCCCACATAGGACAACACCTACACAATTGTCTAAAAAAGACAATTATAGGTCATCACACGTATTGTGACCGCTTCGGCACCAGAGTTATAGCGCGGAATATTTCAGTGAAACTTTTATCGAAACTGTGCGTAAGAACTGTGGCGTTGCGCTTACAACGATTACGAATTGTTCAAGAATCTTCGTATGAGTTTCAGTTTTCTTTCAGTGTATTTTCCGACATGCTCAATCGAACCAGACGAAGAGTTATGTGCTGTAAAACAGTCGTATGCCGCAAACGAGGGTCACTTATTCGGTTGATGGTATCAGCATATGCTTGGCGTATCACACTGACCGACAGGAGTGACAATCCAGTAGTTTCGAGTATATGCTGTTGGGATTGAGCTACACACGTCAGCACAGATAAATTAAAATGAAACAATTTGGCATAAAATCGGCTGAGTTGTGGTCGCAGACCTTATAGTTATACGGGTAATTATCTGGCAAGGCTGACAACCAGAAGCAAACGTCCAGCTTATATTTTTAATCGACACGGACAGGGCTTACCACCTAGCTTCAGAGCGGCTGAATATTGAAATGAAAACCGCACTGAGCGTCTTTTCAGAATTATTATATATTTGGGGCACAGTTTAAGAAATTCAAAAAACAAATTTGCCCCGCATCTGCATGTTACACTGCAAATGTTGTCGAAAGACGATAGTCTTACGTCTGGAGAGAGTGAACAAAACGTTTATTTGATTATTTGCGCAAGAAAATCGGTGAATGCTAATGTGGAGGCACTGCGTTAGAGTGCCTCGAGTGTGCAGCGTAGGTAAACGAGCGCATCAAGTCACGTCACACGTGAGACATGAGCGCTATCTGGCAGTAATCTTGGAAAACAAAGCGGGCGCGCCCGTCTCGGAGGTGATAAGGTGTAGAACGCAAGGCGACGGGTAGGTGCCACCACCGTGTCGTCTTAGCAAAGCGTTGGAAACACTTGCCTTTTCGTGCAAGCGTTGCATGGTCAGCGCAACTTGATAAACGCTACGGTCCTTAGAACTACTTATGTATGCCTTTTCTAGCAAAAAATACACATACATATTATTAACATGTTGTCATGGCACCTCAGATATGCGCAATAATTGTTTTTTTTTAATTGACAATCGCACAAGTAAGAATGCTGAATCTTGAGCAATATTGGTGGGCGCTGCGGATGGGCTCGGTCGTTTGGAGTATCGTTTGGCCACTTTGGTGCCATTTAGAGTACCGTTAAGAGCATGCATACATACATACATACATACATACATACATACATACATACATACATACATACATACATACATACATACATACATACATACATACATACATACATACATACATACATACATACATACATACATACATACATACATACACCAAAATTTTTGAATCGAAGGTCCCCAAGAAAGACTATCGTGTTAAAAAAAACATGTATTCCAGAACACTGCATAAATGTCTGCGACTTTAAAACAATTTCCGTCTTGTAAAGCGTGCTTCACTGTCTATCAATCGTTACTGCGGCGAAGATGCTGCACGAATAGTTACATCTAGCTTTGTTTTGTTTATTTTTGTTTTAGCTTTTGGTATTCACACTCATGTTTTCACAGAAGTTTCAGTACGTGAAAGAGGCCAAGGTATCGTATCGTTTAGAAAAGCGAACATATTTACCGCACGTGATCGGTAGAGAACCGCGCCTTACGTCCACCATTTGTAAAGCGAGCGCAAGCCTCAATCAAGTGCGTGCAGCAGATACATTAATTTTTTGGAACCAGTTCAAGTTTGTTACGTTGAATAGTTGTAGCAATATTAGACATCGCAATATGTATATATACACCTTAACCGCAATATAATTTTCAGCCTGTGTAGACACTGAAATAAAGCATCCATATTATACTGTTGCTTATTATGAAATGGTTCTCCTATATTTATCTAATATTTAGAAGAAAAGAAAAAACAGAAAGAGAAGAATACAGGAAAAAAGAAAACGTTATGCGCAAGTGTTTTACCTTATGCGTAAATGAAAGCGTTAGGTTTTACTGTAGGTTTATGCCTTCCATGGAACGCCGCAGCTTTTAGGTGGCATTGGCCAAGTGTCTGTCATCGTCTTCGTAACTAACGTAGCTGACTAGGCTAGTTGGTTATTCACGTTGAAGATAAACGGCACGAGAAATCATGGCAACAAAAAGCAAACACACAGCAGTACTTGTCCCATTTGTTTGCTTTTCGTGGCCGAGCTCTTTTGAGTTATTTATCTTCACTTGTTTCTGACGTTTGGAGATGACCTATGGCAAGCGCATCCTGCGGCGACCGAAACGTGCGCTCGACATAAAGTATTTGCAAAGCTGCAATTTCTGTGTGCGAGTACCTCAACTTCCCCGCCAAAGAGGCACACAAGCTGGTTGGCCGCTCTGTGAGGTTTAACGTTCCGGAGCGACTCACGCTATGCGAGATGCCGTAGAGAAGGACTCTGAACAATGACGTCGATCACCTGGGGTTCTTCAGCGCGCACAGAAACCGGACACTGTACGTCTTCCCGGCTTCCAGCATTTCGCCCGCACTTAATTGCGTCCGCCGTGGCTATAGAATTAGAACCTGTCACTTTACGGTCAGTTTCCGAGCACCTTAATAACCAGTGGGCCACCATGGCTGCAGAAGCGTCGCGTGTCGCGGGAAAAAACCACACTCTTGCCCATCTGACACGTAATAGCCAGCTCACAATTGAAGCCGTTTTGAAAGAAAGAAAAAAGCGGGGGGGGGGGGGGGGGAGTGGTGTAATGTAACATCTGAAAAGCCAGCGTTCAGCGCGGTACACTGCGCCGCCTGCAACGTTTCTCACGCGGCATAGGTGACGGCGCCCTCATCGTGCTACAGGAAAAGGCTTTTAGGAGTCTGTGACTTTCGTTGGTATTGTCCCTTCCCCGCCTATCTTGTTTTTCTATTTTTTAATCGAGGGCAGTCCAAAAAGGGGCGCGCAGTGCAATCCAACACGGTCGCACCTGACGTGTGCGGTTCTTCGCGCCTTGTGTCACGGAACTGTCGACCCGCGCCGGTTCCCACGTCAGACACGCTTCGGCAACGGCGTTT